CATTCCCGATAACCCGGCATTTTTACAAACTCGGCCACCCTTTGGTCCACATTAGGCCGAGTTTTCGAGGTTCTACTGTACCACAAATTAAATTGCTAGAATGGAAATGAAACTTTTGCATAACTCACTCAACTCTAATAATTGATAAACAACTGCTAAAATTCTAGTTAGAACTGTTTTAAATTAAAAAAGTATTTTTAAACTTTAAACAATTTAATTCCATATAATCTGTAAGTTAACAATGATCAATCATATGATTGAAGACTGACTAAATAATATGTTTGGTAACCAGAATTTTAGCAGTTTATTATTATTATTATAGTAAAACCTCAATTTAATGGCCATCCAGATCAGACTCAGATTTCACAGACAAAATCTGTTAAATCTGAGTCTGGTCTGGATGTCACATGTGAAAATCAATACCCTGTTAATTTTACAATGATTTTTATATGTAATTAAATTAATTATTTTTATAATTTTTATTTCTATTGTAAATATTTCTAGCCCTCAATTCAAAATAGCCCTCTATACTTTTCCATACTTTCTGTGTGGTAACTTCCTCATTCTTCCTTGAAATTTCAGTCTGTTTATAGCTGTCAGTTTGTCTCTGGTATATTCTGCTGAGGGGAACACCTACATTTATTCAGAGATGTACCAAAATATCAGTCTGCCTGCACTCAAAAACTAGCTAGAAATGTTGCTACATATACAGTAGAACCTCGAAAACTCGGCTCTCGATAACCCAGCACTCCGGATAACTCGGCCACACCCTGGCAGGGCAAAAAAATCCTTAGTTAATTAATTTTCATTATAGACAGCTTTATAAAAGTATAAAAGCTCTCATAAAGTATTTTTCTGAGGTCTGTCTTATCAGGTAAATTACTGTACACAGTGTATTCATNTCTGTTAAATCAAGGTTTTATTGTATTATTAAATTAACAATTAATGAATACATATTAGAATTTATAATAATGTATTGTAAAATAATTTGTTTATAAAATTATTATTATTTAAATAGCAGCTTTAAGCTGATAATCTGAAGTGTGTTGTATAAATTATAATGGCATTATTTTATAAATACATTTCTGGTTGTCATTTCTGTTAGAATGTAACTATAGTTTAGGATAAATTTAGAGATTCATAGTTTAGGATAAATTTATATTAATGTGTTTTAACTATATACTAATTTGAGCTTAACCAATTTGTTTACAGTTTAAAAGCTATTTAGAAGTTTATTTATTATTATTTAATTTAGTAGTATATTAATATATATATATATACTTTTTATTTTAGCCTCCTAGTGAATTAAAACTTAATGGAAAAGCTGATGTTGTATATGATGCCTTGAAACATCTCTTATATATTGCTGAACTTCCAGTTATAAATATTTTACATCCTTGCCTATTGAAATTTCTTTCAGGACAAGAAAGAAATCCAAAGAATTCTTCAGTAGATTTCAGAGTAAATATTTTTATAGAAAATTAATTTGTTTTGGTATTTTAAAATATTAATGTAAATGTAGACATAATTCCCAAATTTTTATAAATAATAGTCATGAGAACACTTTTAGTAATTAAATAAAACTGAAAATATTCAATAAAATAGAATAAATAGTACATGTCTTCATAATTTATCCTTTTTACACAACTCCAGGAAAACAAGTCTCTACAGTAAAATTCAGCTTTTATTGAAGGCCACTTCTCCACCTCAGTTTGTAAAAATGAAAAAAATTCCAGTGTGACAGCACAATTATAAAAATGTATTAATTAATAAAATGGCCAGAATGACAATAATACATATAAATATAATGCATAAAAATATTCAGTAAAATAAAATAAACAATAAATGTCTTCATAATTTGTCCATTTTACATAAAATGGACAAATTTCCAAAGAATAAAATAAGAACCCTCTAATAAACAACACAGTTGCCAGTTGAAAAAAGTTAGGCCATATGTTGTTTATAGGAATAAATATGGAAGTTAGAACTTATAGCAAAGTTACCAGGAGAAACTCTATGATTAAAAATATGTAAAGATCAAGAATTGGATGAAAGTGGATATGAGTATAACAAAAAAAAAAACAGGCATGGTTATTATCAAACTAGATAGGTATATTTAAACTTATTTATAAATATAAGCTATGTAATATAACATATTATAAGGTATATAACATTACAGTTTGAAATATCTAGTATAATATAGACATGCAGTTGTTATGTTGTTAATTAGGAGAGCCTACACATTATTATCAACTTGAGAGTCTTAATGACAAATTGGGCTAGTCAGTCATACTTTGTAAAAATTAAAAAAAAAAAAACAGGAAAAAGACAGAGAATTAGTTTAGTACTCAACACTTCACATGTCACTTGTGGCATACTTTTGTTCTCTAATTCTCTTCTTTCTCCATATTCTGCAATTCTTTTTACATTGTTAATCAAGAAGACTGTAAAATAGAAATTTTTTATTACCACTTTTATGTATTTTGGTTAATCAGCTATCTGAATATCAAAATTTGAATAAATATTCATTTAAAATTTACAAATTATATTAAAAATGCATTTTGTGGCTATCTTTCTTAATTTATTTGATTGGCTAATAAGTAAAAAGATAAAATTGGACAAAACTTCAATTGATTATCACTTATTCTGCATAATAAAGAACAAAATGCATATATATGTTTACAAAATAACAGGAATATTTCAAGGAAATGTAAATTTTGTGTACATGATTAACATAAGCAAAACACAAGAATATGAATGAAATCTGAATCACTCTAGTGTATTAAAAAGTCCTGTTTGATAGACAACAGATTGTTTAACATTATGAGAGCAAAATTTCATACTGATTAAATAGTTAATTTCTTGATCATCTGTAAAGAAGTTATCAGATAAAAAAACCTCTCAACAACTTTATTTTTCAACCTCTGGAAGAGTTAAGAAGTTAATGCTAAGTGACCAGTCAAATTATTGGCTATTTTGGGTACATTAAATTATGTTGGTACATTTATTTTGGCTAATTGTTTGACGTCAATTAATTAAAACAGGTTATGAGTGACTTATTTTTTTATATATACTCATTTTGAAGAATGTAAAAACAAAATTCTAAGTTGAGTGAAGAAAATCTTAGTTTCAAATCAGCTGTAAGAGAGAGAAGCAATGTCAATAAATTTTGAATATGATAAAACAAAACAGCTAACAATGTCCTTCTTTGACAAGATGGCCTATGACAAATACTGTATATACTCACAAATAATATGAGGATTTAATTCATTTTTCACTGCTTTAAAATCCTATGTTGTCTTATATGCGTGAGCGAAAAATTCTTTGTGTTTTTGCAATAATTTTGTGAAACGTGTGTTTGCATTTTTTACCTAATGCTCATTCTCTAGTGTTTAAAAACAAAAGTATTTTTTCTGTGTCATTTCAATCATTATTGTGTGTTGTCATGAGTAAAGATGAATAGCAATAGGAAAAGCAAAGCTTTTGAATTGTATTTCAATTTGAAATTCCAAAATCACACAGGTGCCTGATATAAGTTTTAATCCATTCCCACACGAAAAAAAGATGATTATTTTGAAATCAGAATTTGAAGAAACTGATAAGTGTAATTGACAGATAGTGGATTCGACTGTTAAGAATTGGCAAGAAAGGTTTCCAATTGTTCAACTTTATATGAACAAATTATGTTGTCAATTTTACAAGATTTTTTATTAAAGTTTAAAATGCCAGTAATTTTTGCAGGACAATGTATGCATTTATGTGCATTTGGTATTTTATTTATGATTAAACGAAATAAAATTAAATTGTGTTAATAAATCTAATTTTCTTTACTTTGACTTTTAAAGCCACAGCTTGTCCTATATGCAAGGTTGTCTTATATGCAGGTGAACATGGTATACAGTATATATAAGGTGATCAGTTGCACCAATTGCTTATGAAAAATTTTAATGCCAGTAATCACTTCTATGAAAGATTGCAGAGACACAGCTACATTTTTATTTATTTGTTTATTTGCCCTATGAGTACCAAGAAAATGTTTGTTTGTCTTTTTGTTTAATACCTGTTGTGGGTTCAGCCAGGGATATAATGGAGGCACTCAGGTGGCAACAGATGGGGTCCAACATATCTGGGACAGACAACTTATGAAAAATTCCTGAGGTTTTTTTGACCATGAGTTTCTCAGAGTGGTAGGCTGGCACCTTAATTCCTTGGCCATCCAACTGTCAACATTTTTATTTGACAATAGACAATGTCTATTGTAAAATATTGTCACAGTCACTTACAAAAGTATAAGTAATTATTACTTGCATGGTGTCTTTAAAGTAAGGAACAAACAAATGAGATGTGAATCTTAACTTTTTGCATATGTACATAATAATCTAGTTGTTTTTGAATATTCCTATATATCTTAAAACTATTTCCTACAATTTCAACAATAAATTAGTAATGGCAGTCAAAACAACCATCTTCAGTTATTTTAGGTATTCAAAACTTGTAATCACTTGAGTGTGAAAAGTTTGACATAATGACATTATAATTGTTTTAACTTGTTTTTCTCATATTTGCATTCTGAATTTAGAGCTTTCAAATAAGGAATTTTTGAAAATTTTATGAAGTAAAACTATCTAAGAAAGCATCTAATTAAATTATCCATCATTATCCTATATATTTTAAGAAGATAATATATATTGTATATAACTGAAAACATTTTTCAAAACTTTTGTAATAGCTTAATTTTCTATTTAGGACATACAACTTTATCTCAAGAATCAAATTATTATTAACCAATGAAAATATCATTTGTTATTAACCAAACAAACATATCTGGTAGATAAGACAAAACAGTTAGTAAGGAATATGATATATAAATTTTGAATTGTTTGATTCAAGCAATTCACCAAAATGAGGCATCAATTTTAAAAATAAACTAGTTTTCATTGCACAATAATAATTAACAATTTCTAATAGTTTATTGATATATTTCTTCATACTAAAAGAATTATTTAGTTTATATTTATTTAATTAACAACAGCAACCAAAAACCAGCATAAAAAATAATGGAGCTAAATGACCCCATAGCAGTTAAAACAATGAGATTCTACAAAACTGTAAACTTCCTATCCTCTTCCCCTTCCTCTCTCTTTCATACATCACCTCCCCTCTTGACACATGTACAGCAATTCCCCTTTGTTTTAACAGCTGCAACATCATTTAGCCTGATTATGACCATTTAACACAAGTGAAAACATTAGCTCTGTTATTTTTTATGCTCATTTTTGGTTTTGGTTGCTGCTGTTATCAAGTTTACCAGTTTGAGTGATTGTTTTATTTTTATTTTTAGTCAACTCGTTATGATGAAGTATATGGACAACTTTTGTGGAATATGGAGCATGAACAAAAAATATTATTTCGAAGAGCATATTCTGCTTATATTCCTGAATATATTAATGCAATGGGAATAGCTGTATGTTATCATATGAAGGTAAGCAAATTAACTAAGATATTTACTGAAAGAACTAATTTGAAATTCATTTTCAAAGTTATATTATTATTTTCAGAAAAATTATTGGGTTAATATTGAATATGAAATGACAAGTCATTTTATATCCAATATTTTAAGTGATATATGGATATTGATATAAGATTTTTTTTATTGAATATTATTTAAGTCAGTAGACTTAGTTATTTAAATTTTTAAAAGTCAGTTTTTTGAAAAATATTTTAATTTGATTGAAAATGATTAAATTAATTTTTTATATTAATAGCAAACTTTAAGAACGTTGTTAGAATACTTATTAATATATGATGGACCAGAAGAAGTGAGTAGAAGAAATGCACTTCTGTCACTAAAAGTGTTGATTTCTGTTGCTTGGCCAAGGTATTGTATTTGTTTTAATTTTTTTACTATATACATATTAATGTATCGTAATATATTTTTAAATTAATCAAAATTACAAAATTTTTTAAGTTTTATGTTTGTTTTTGAAAATAATAATTGTAAAATTTGTAATATTTGTATATTTAACAAAATTGATAAAATAATTTCTTGTCTTTAGATGTTAAGTTTTCAATTATAATAATTATAATTCACAACATACAGGGCTAGCTAGTAGTTGTGATAAAATTATTCTTATTGTCCTTAGATATTGAACTAAACTAGTTGAATTTCAAAATAAGTTAATTTAAACAAATTTACACTGACTTTCCTAGGTTTGTGATTAATTAGGACTGAGCAATCTTTCATGAACATACAATTCTCATACTTTGAGTTCCATTTTCAATGTTAAATTTGTAATTGTTTCAAGACTTTATGTATTACTGCTGTTTTAAAAAACTTTTAGCAAAATGAATGGTTTTATTAAATAAATATTCTGTTCTGCTGTTTGTAGTGTTGCAAAAGTCATTTTACTTAAGCCAAAAAGAAAAAATAAACAAAACTGTAACATGACAGACACCATATGAATGAGTGAGAGCAGTGATCTTTTAGCATTGTGCCTGATAGAACATCTAGTTTGCACAGTTACCAGCTCTAGTTTATAGCAGTACATAAATCTTCCATTTCCTGAAAGGTTGAAACCTTTCACAAAAGTTGAAATTTTAGTACATAAATTTTGAATCATGAATGATCAAATTCCCAAACACTGATGTTCATGAACGTTGAGGGTGTAGTGTATATAGTATATACAAGTATATTTCAAAATACAATCGTATTCATAAAGATTTAAATAATCACAATAATATGAAGAAAGTTTTAATTTTATAATAAAATAAACAAATTTTAAATATTAAAATTTTTTTTTATTAGAACTTCATACAAGACAATCCAGTGATGCAGGAGAATTAGAATGGGCTTATCTTTTGGTTTGATGTCAAACTGTGTAGTTTCCCAAATATAAAAGAAAATCAGTATCTGAACAAGGTTGCAGAAATTGCATGTCTATCCAAATGAGTTTTAAGTATAGAATCTAAAATAAGCATGCTATTTGATCACCCATGGCCCTGCATAAATTAGTACATAAATTAGTATTAGAGCAGCGATTATTCTAATGTTGATCAACCGAAACATCAATTAACTGAAAGCTTTCCAGTCGGCATATTTAAATTTCCGCTGGTGTTGTGGTGCTGCAATCTTTGGCTATGTCTTGGGCTACTCCAATATTATTTTTGTTGGTGTGCATGTTTTAACTGGCAGCGCTGGCACAACCATGAGAGGGTACTTAAAGACACGTGTGACTAAATATCTAGATGGCACGACATGGTGATTGGTCATCAGAATGACGTCAACCTACTGATATCGGAAATGTTGATCGATTAGCCTAAAGTTTGTTTTGTTGTTGTTATGAGAGCATGCAGACACTATAGTTTTTATAGACATTTCATCTAAAACTTGATAAAAGGCACATATTTATAATTTCACTAGCTCTTGATTGTGTGTATTGACATTAATGTTAAAATTATTGCAAAATTTTCAATTAAACAAAGATTTTAATGTTGAGACATTTTTAAATATCAAGAAGTAACTTTTATCTGATTTGTATTTAATAAAGCTTTTTTTATACATTTACTGTAATAATTAAAATAATCAGAAACAACATATGTAAATTGCAAATTAAGTTTTTTACATTCTTTATTAGACATACAGTATTTTTAACCATACAGAAACTTGTATTTAATTTATATATATATATCACCTAAACATAATTCATACTTTTTAATGCATAATTGTTAAAACATTAATAAGTTATTTTTTCTACTAATCTATTGGTTTGCTTTTTAAATCAAATCCTGTGGAAACTTAAATATAGACACTGCAGGTCACTTCACTTTATATTTTCCTACGCAGCCAGTATACAGCACATACAAGGCATCTAGAAATAGTTATTCATTAGTATGGTAATATTATTTTAACAAAAAATAAAAAATACAAATGTTTAAAAAATAGCTTACTATGAAAACATTACATACAAATGCAACATTACTTTTTCCTGACACTTATATTGATAAACAATTTTCATGATGAAATGTATGGAAATTCTTATTTAAAACATATATAACTATTACATTCAAAGGAATTTAAATACTTACATTATTATTGATTGTTCGATAATTTATACAAGAATTCTATACTTTTAATTAATTTGAAAAATAGTAATACAGATTTGATTAAACATATTTACAGATATATCTATTATGGAACTAGATATATGAAATTTCTATAAATTTGAAAAGTGTTGTTTCTTAACACACTGATTTTGAACTGACATTCAAAAGCACAGTCTTGTCTATTGATGGAAAGAACTATCAATCCCAACTAAAGCATTAAAAGATTTTTCTGATAAGAGTAATCTATGGAGAATATTCATTATTGAAAATTGTTCAATAACTTTTACATTTAAGCTTTATAATTTGTTAAGCAAGATTTGTGAAAATTTTCTCTTTCAGAGGTATACAAAACTTACTTAATTTTATTGTTTCATCTAACTATATTAAATGCATACGACAAATTCAAAAAGTATTCCGACTTGCCTTAATTATAAATTTCATCCTTTTTTGAACTTTTTATGAATAATATCTGTAACAAAGTATAAATTTTCTGTTATTTATTATCTGTGCATGTATATTTAAATTTAAAACACTATCACACTATTGAAATTATCAATTGTGTATGATTTGGTTCAGAGGTGCATAAAGATCAAGTATGAAGTTAAAATTCGTTCAAAAAAAAAAATAATAAAATAATAATAATAATTTATTAAGTAAACCATTTTAAAATTATTCCTATAAATTTAAGAAAACTTCCAAGCTAAACCTTATACTGTATTTTCACTTCATATTCACTCCATATTATGACAACTAAAGGAAATAATCTATTCTGGCATAACTTAATTCTTAGATTTGATCAGCAAAACAGAATTGATCAGCATTTCCTATTTCGGTGGGTTGATGTCATTCAGCTGACCAATGAGCGGGTTGTGCTATCTGGATATTTAGTCACCTGTTTAAGGATGTGCCAGAATTTGAACAAATTTCAACATGGGCTAGTCTAATATATTTTTCGTACATAATCGGTTATCCAAAAAATCGATTTTCCACACAACCCCAGTTTCCAATTGATTTGATAATCGATGCTCTACTGTACTTCATTTATACAATGGGCATGAGACAAGAAATAAAAACGTTTTGGAATAATCTAGTGGTAATTGAGGAATATAGAAGTGGGTTCTTAATTTGGATATTAGAGCAGATATACATATCCTCTTATATAGATATCTTATATCATCTTTACTGTTGATTACTTTATCACTTTTTGCAAGTTTGCTACCTGTACTTGATAGAATGTATCTTATAAAAATAGTAAGAAAACTATTAATAGATTCTGTATAGCTTAACATACATTTTATTTTATTATTTTATGATTATTATTATAGTGTACTTTTTATCTTATTTTGAGTATTTTAAAAAATGTATCACACATGTTCCTTTTATATTAATTTTAAAAATATTCTTTTTATGTTAGTTTATTTTAAAAATGTGTTCTTTATACTCTTCATTAATGTATCAGAGCTGAAGCTGACTTAAACAGAGTCAAAAACATATCTCAAAATAAGCATTTGTGGCTTTCTTAATTAGCAGAAATATAAATTTTTATTTGTTTAAACATGATGCCAAGTTTCTTATAGTATTACAAATTTAAAACAGATAGGATAATTGGGTATTTTACCTGATGTGTAAAATATCATTTTGATATTCTGTCAGCTTAACAGTAAGCATTGAAGTATTGTGGATGTTTTTCCTATATAGTCATAGTATTTTACATTATTCTGAAGGTTTTTACTTAGAGAAAATTATTTGTTAATGATGAAATAAATTGCTTTAATTGACTTGAAAATGAAATAAAAATACATATAGTCAATTATTGTCAGATACAGACATTCTAAAGATTTATAACAAAGATCAATATCTTTATAGTAATCAAATTAAATCGAAATCCTTTTTAAAGATCAAATTTCTCATACTCTGGTAGAAGCCATCAGCTTGCTGATGGTAAGATATTTGATCTGCTGATGACTGATCAAATATTGGTAACAAGTAATCACAATATACTTAATTTTATATTGTTGTAGAGAACCCATTCTTAATCAGCGGATTCCACCCCGTCTGTTCGTCTCACTAATTAATCAACTAGTCCAATATTTCCACAAAAAAAACTTTATTCCACTCTCAGGAACCACTCCCTCTCCCTCTTGTGTCCCGAATTCCTCTTTCTGAAAAATTCCTTCTTCCCACGTTTTCTTCCCCGGTCTTAATGGCCCCTCGTTAGCGTGTGTCGATGGATGGATCGCGTCTGCCCTGACGAAACCCCCCCATAGAGGGAGGACGAGAAGGTCCGATATCACTACACCCCCGCCGCAAGACAAGTGTTAGGGTGTTAACCCAAACACGAGTCTGAACTACAATTTTCGAACAAAATAAAGGTTACAGTAAAACTTAGTTTCTGAATACAAAAAGTTCATACAGATGATATACAACACAATTTTCCTTTTACACAAATTATATTAGTTCTCATCACTACACATCGAAACAAACATCACTTTTAATGCCACAAATATGCTGTTGAACCGGAAGTATCGTGAATTCCTCCAAAATGGCTCCACTGCTGCCTTTGTCGCCAACACGTTACGAAAGTTCTCAGTTACCCCACCAGTTGTTGGCAGGACCGTAACTTCCACCATAGTCTCCTTTATATTGAACATCATAGTTGTTTCTTTCGTAACCAACAGCAGAAGATGAGTATTTATTTGATACTGCAATGCGATCTGTGTTGCCTCGATCACGGCCGAACGGACGATAACCACGAGATTGGAGGCCGCTGGAGCCGTACCTCCTACTTCGACCCTCTAAATATTTACTTCAATTATTGGTCTTTTGTTCATCTTGCCTGTTCCGATTGTCGTTGTACTCGGAACATCTACTACCTTTCCGATGATTCCAGACACTTTTACTTCTGTGAATGTGTCTGGAATCATCTGCGATGTGTACTTTTACATCCAAATGATGCTTCAAGGACCCGCTGGCGCAACAGCGGTTCCTTGGAGCATCGTTTGGAGCATGCGGACCTCGCCAGTTATGATCACATTCGCTGTCTGTCATGTATGACATGTAGCTATCAGGGCAAACTTTTAGATATCCTTTTCTAAAATTAGAGAGATCTGCTTCTCCTCACTTATGACTGCTTTCTCACTTGCTTACATTTCCAAAATCTTCATGGTCACTGTATTTCTGACTACTAGAATCTTTTTGGCTCAGATAGCTTCTATTATGACTATCAGTTCTCTCAAGCAATGCTTTATCGTGAAGACCTACATATCGATCACTCGTATCCGAGTACCGGTTTCGGTCCCAATCAGTTGGTTCACAACTACCTGTTCCACTCCCACAATTACGAAGGTGAGGAGGTCTGTACACACCAGCTTGTCCTTCCAACACTTTGAGAATACTGGGCGGCATGAGATGAGGGCCCTTCAATTTCTCAGTCAGTGCCACCGTGACTTCTACGAGGGGGTAATAAAGTTTGGTTGCAACGGTCTTTAATAGCCATAGGGACCTTTACTGTCTATGCCTTGATCTCCTCCCCAAACGCTGAGCTCAAAACTATTGTTCCCTAGTCCCTGTCATTCGAGCTGGTAACATCTTCGGGGTGCAAGACTGGGACTTGGGTGCCTGAATCTACGATAGCTTCAGTATCTTGCCCACCTATGTTGACCGTAACATATTGTAAACATTGAATACTAGGGCCTGACTTCAAATGGCTGCTCGTTTTTTCATCAAAGTATTCTGACCTCACACTCCCCACTATCGCGACGTCGTTCCATCTCCGACTGGTCGAGGGTTGAGTGCGACTATCGTTTAAGGGTGTATCCCTTATCTTCTGCGGGCAGGATCTAGAAATATGTTGCGTTGATCCACAGATGAAGCACTCCCTCTGTTTCATTTCCTGATGATAGTTTACTGTGTCGTTCTGTCCCTCATTCCTCAGTGGTGGGGGATCGTACTCCTGGCCAGTACCCTGGCACTCTGGAAGACGCCACAACCCTTGCAACTCGTTGTATGTCTCGGTTAGAGATTTTCCCTTGCTTTCGAAATATAGGTCGCACTCTGTTGCCATATCGATAGGGTTAAACCACCCCTCGCCCTGACGTACGCTTATATGGGCCGCTATGTCAGCATCCAACGTCTGAAATAATCTGTCTGCCACGATTAATTGTTTTGCAGTTTCCAAGTCCTTCACTCTCCTCAACTCGCAATAGTATTCCCAAGACGACACTATTCTCGACATAAATTGCATGTGAGTCTCGTCGGGCCTAGCACTTCGGAAATTTTCCAGGCAACATTGGGCGGACGGTTCGTATTCTTGTAACACTAATTTCTTCATGCTTGAGTAATCCTTTAACTTGTCTCTGGTTATATAAATCAAAATGTTTGTGGCCTTTTCTCCCAGAATATTGATCAGTATCTTCGCTTTTATCTCTTCCGGCACATTCTTCGATTGGAACGCTCGCACTATAGATACAAAAATAGGTTCCAATTTTCGGACTTAGTTGGGACTGGCAATGTTAACATTTTCACACTCGTAATCAATTTCTCAATACTCCTGGTGGGCCCATCACCTGGATGGCTGTCCGTAAGACTGTTCGTTACTCGCCCTGCTTTGAATAGTAGCGTTGAATAGTAAACGAGTTAATCTAACTCGTGCTGTCATTCCCTTTCTAGCCTCTCTTGTTCCCTTTTTAGGCTCTCTTGTTCCTTCTTCTGTTTCCTTTCCACAACAGTGGAAGTCAAAATCTCCAGCACAAAATCTGGGTCACTAGCAAAATCGTCACTTTTCGTAATAAGTTCCCTTAACTCTGATACTCTCAGATTGTCGTCTATTGTGCCACAAAGCTCTTCCATCACGACCCATAGATCTTCCTTCTTAACTCCCTTTACGCTTAGCATTCCGCCGTGAATTCCGTTTCCGACAAGTACAAAATTTTCCTACCTCTTCTCTGGTGTAAATCTTGTATATTCCTCAAACCTTTGCTCTGTGCTCAATTACCCACTCTGCTCAGTTTTCAATCCATTCTCCTTATTCTGGTTCGTAATCACTCTCTTCACAGATCGAATCTTGTCGATCTGACTTCACAATCCTGTCGGCTGCGCCAATGTAGGGAACCCCTTCTTAATCAGCGGATTCCGCCCCGTCAGTTCGTCTCACTAATTAATCAACTAGTCCAATATTTCCACAAAAAAACTTTATTCCACTCTCAGGGACCACTACTTTGCACTCCCTTCCCTCTTGTGTCTCAAATTCCTCTCTCTGAAAAATTCCTTCTTTCCGCGTTTTCTTCCCCGATCTTAACGGCCTCTCGTTAGCGTGTGTCGATGGATGGATTGCATCTGCCCCGACGAAATCACCCAGAGAGGGAGGACGAGAAGGTCTGATATCACTACAATTGTGATAACTTGTTACCAATATTTAGGTTTTTATTTGATGAGAAAACTATTTTTAAAATACATATTTCTGTAAATGTTGTTGATTGCAATGGATAATAGCAATTTTAGCAAAATATGTAGTGCTAAATTATTTCATCATATTTAATAGTTTAAGATACCATCAGTTGTTACATGATATATTATTATTTCAGAATACCTTATCATTGGGAAGAAATTATGAAAAATATTCTTATTTGTATATATGAAGTAGAAGAAGAAGATATATCTATTGAAGGTATGATTGCAATTTATGCTATATTCATATTTCAAATTTATTTAGTACATTTCAAACAATTACTTTGTTGTTCATTTTTATTTTGCAAATTAACTGCTGTTTGCTGCAGAATAGTGTCAAGTATATATTTCTTGATATGCTAGTGACACACACATGCATAACAACATAAGGCAAAAATAAAAATTTCTTTGTGAATGCTTGCATTATATGCAAAGTTTTAAGTTTTTCAGTTTGTTAAGCATCTTGATATTATCTTGGTTTTGTTTGAAGCTATTGTAGTCTTGCTTGCAGATTTTTCTCGTAATTGTCCATATGTCATTAATATTGACACAAATTGAAATTTTCATTAAATGATATATATCAATATTTATAATTATTTCTCACAGTTAAGTAAAAGAAGTCATATATAAATAAAAGAATTTATATATAAGTACTAAAATCATCACTAAACACCTTTGACTGCTGAGACACATTTATTTGCTTATACACTAATGTTTTCATTCTAATGTATAGGCAATCCTCAGCTGACATTTTTGAACATCAGTTATAAACAGTTTCAAAATAGAATACAATTAATATGGAATATTAGAACATCAACTTTTAAATTTTATATATGAAATGTATTATAAAATCAGTTTTTTTTTAAATGGCAATGAATTGACAAATTAATGTTTATAACTCCTTTTTATTATTTTTTAATTAATAGTTAAATTATTGTACATATTAAAAACTAAAAAGCACTATATTTTAAAATTTAAAATTAAATTATTTAATGGGATCTGTTATTTAGTTAAAATTGAATTAAACATATAACTAGTACTGATTGAGTATTTTAATTCAGAGACTGTATTCTACATTTTAACTTTTTAAAAATTTTTAGAATTATAGTTATATTGATATTTTTTAATTCAATTTCATCATATCTATATATATAACCCATTCGACGGGTATCTATCTGTCCCACAACTGTTTGATAACGGACACTAGAGGTGCCCCTATCATGTGTCATATTTCAAACATTCAAATTAACAATTTTAATTCTTATTTAAATTAACAATATAAATTTTTATTATTCATTTGGTCAATATAACAATATAAATAATTCAGTATATTTGTAATAGGAATTTATTATTTCAGGGGCTTATATCTCTCGAAGGTCACGAGTAGGGGTATGGTTCCTTTGACTTTATTGTTAGTACAGGGGTCTACGGTTTGGGGAGGTTGCCACCTCTTTATTCAGAGGGTAAATCTTACCATTCAGACTTTAACAGAGCTGTAGAGCATATTGATAGGAACAAAAAAGTCAAAGGAACCGTGCCTCATGGAAATTTGTAAAGAACGCCCACTAGTTTTATATAAAATAAAATTAATATAATGCAAAAACAGACATAAGGGGTGTGAAATTTTTATTTTCATAATATAGATATACATTCTTTCAGCAATTCACTCTTTTTTTCAAAAGTAGTCGAGCCTAAAAATGAATGACTAATATATATATACATATAAACATCTCAAAACCATGTCAAAGCCAGATGATTGACATAATGAATCAGGCTCTTTTATTTCTACTACAGTAGAGCATTATCCAAAACAATTCGGGACTGGGATTGTTCAGATAACTGATTTTACGGACAACTGATCTTGTACAAAAAAATATATTAATTTATCCAATGTTGAAAGTTTTCTCTGTTGTGTGTTGCTTCGCATTGAATTTGCATCGATGTTAAGCCTAACAAAATTTTTTTTTAAATAATAATCTTGGTTATTGTATCATTAAAAATTATTTCTTTATTTTGCACAAATAAAATAAATATATTGAAAAATATAAAAACAAAAAAATTATATTTTAAAAGTTAATCTAGTATCAAAAACATTCCAATTCAGCACGATATGTCCAAACACACAGTGCTCAGAAAAACACCACACAAAACGAGCAAAACTCACCACTCAACATGGGAGGAAAAAAGCCTCGTTCAAATACTGGTGCATCCTTAAGTACCCTCTTGTGGTCGCACCAGTGCTGCCAGCTAAAACATGCACACCAACAAAAATAATATTTGAACCCAAGACATAGTCAAATATTGCAGTGCCACAGCATTCTAGTCAGCAAATTCAAATTTCTGGAAATTTGAATTTGCTGACTGGAACGCTTTCGGTTAATCGATGTTTCGGTTGATTGGTATTCGGATAATGATGCTCTACTGTATTAATAATTAAATTTTAATTAATTTGGAAGTAGAGGTAGGCATTAGGTGCCATCTCTTATTGAATTTAATAATTATAGATATACACCAAAAGATCTGTTAAATCTACCTGAAGGTATTCAAATTAGTAGTAAATGACGTGATGTCATTAAAGACATCATAAAATAAATTTAAGCATACAAGGCACTTATGCTAAGCTTTCCACCAGAACTTTTATAAATTTATTTATATTTATGTATATTTTTGTTCAGTTATTTATATTTAAATTTAACAAAATGTAATTCAGAATGTTTTTAGTAAGTCTTTTAATAGATTTATGAAATTTGTACTTTATCATTTAAAGGACTGTAGTATGAGTAACTTATTTTAAGTGAATTTCTTCACATAAGATCATATTGTATTCTAATAATTAATGGTATCTTTAATATACAGGAAGATATTAAAGAAAGATTGTAATATAAACTTCAGTCCAAAATGTATTTGTCATGTTTATCTGTATGTGAGGAAAAAAAATTTTTTTATCAGTTCTCACAGACTATTGGAGTAACTGATGATACCTCACAAGTATGCTAACATGACTTATTGAGGATACAACATAGATTTAATATATATTTTGGTAAGAATTCTTATTTGTTCCCAAGTGTAATTATCACAATTGGTGATAATAGCTAAAGTTTCATTATAATAAGTGGATTATTTATAATTAATCAGTCAGTCCCAAAACACTGTATAAAATTATGATAACTAGATTCTATTGTACTAATATTAAAGAGCGAACTGTACTTATTAGAATATTTTAGTTATTAATAATAATTTTAAAGGTTAATAAAACAGATTTATTTATTTAAAAATTAATATTTGCATTTCAGTAAAGTCATTACTTTTGAATGAAGCAAGAAATTGTTTATTATATATGAAAAAAGCATGTCCTGAAAAATTTGAAGTAAGTATTAATACAATTAAAATAAAGTTTTAAAAAATAACAACAAAAACAAATCCTTTAATATTTCACTTCAAAAATAATGTACAGAATGTAAAAATATATGGCCAGGATGAATTAATCATTACAAAAAAATCTTTAAAAAGATTCTTCTAAGACAACACATACAAATGTGTCTTTATTCCAATCCAGTCCTTTCAAATGCACATTTGAGGAATATATTTTTACCAAATGTATATTTTTAATTTTATATGAAGTGCCATTGTCAGAGAGAGAAATTTTAACTGTTTGACATTTATTTATTGAACAGCCTGTAAAGAAAGGTCAACTCTGCCATGAAATTGTTTATTCCTCAAATGTGCATTTGAAAGGACTGGATTGGAATAAAGACACATTTGTATGTATTGTTTTAGAAGAATCTTTTTAAATATTTTTTGTAATAATGTACAGAATGTTTAATTTGTACAATNACAAAAAAATCTTTAAAAAGATTCTTCTAAGACAATACATACAAATGTGTCTTTATTCCAATGGTTGTGCTATCTGGATATTTAGTCACCTGTTTAAGGATGTGCCAGAATTTGAACAAATTTCAACATGGGCTAGTCTAATATATTTTTCGTACATAATCGGTTATCCAAAAAATCGATTTTCCACACAACCCCAGTTTCCAATTGATTTGATAATCGATGCTCTACTGTACTTCATTTATACAATGGGCATGAGACAAGAAATAAAAACGTTTTGGAATAATCTAGTGGTAATTGAGGAATATAGAAGTGGGTTCTTAATTTGGATATTAGAGCAGATATACATATCCTCTTATATAGATATCTTATATCATCTTTACTGTTGATTACTTTATCACTTTTTGCAAGTTTGCTACCTGTACTTGATAGAATGTATCTTATAAAAATAGTAAGAAAACTATTAATAGATTCTGTATAGCTTAACATACATTTTATTTTATTATTTTATGATTATTATTATAGTGTACTTTTTATCTTATTTTGAGTATTTTAAAAAATGNTGATCTATACTTATTTTATTTTAAATTTTACATTTAGAATTTCAATGTACAATAGTGATGAGATTTTATTTAGTTTCTCTGTGTTATTAGGAATCTAATATATCTTAGAGCTGTAATACATACAGTATCTATGTCTATCTACCAGTATATGTTTGTTTACATAATACAAGGACAGTCAAAATAAATTAATACTGATTTTTTTTCCCTCACCCAATAATTATTCTGAAGAATAGTGATTATGGTTGTTTTCAAAGTATTTCTAATGGTATTCAATACACTTCTGTTATTATGTTGCCAGTTCTTGAAGATGTCAATACTTAGATGTTTTTCAGAATTCTCTGTAATGCTGTAAAAATGATCATTGCAACAGAAATGATTAAGCATTGTTGTTGCCGACAAGAAAGAGATGCCTTGTAACTTTGACTTTAGTGTGGGGGAATAGAAAGATTGCAAGGTCCAAATCTGAGCTGTGTGATAGATGTGGGATGCAAGAGATGTTTATAATAGCTAAAAAAAAGTTAACAGTTTGCAGATACATTGTCATGGTTCAACCTCCAACTATTGGCATGGAGATTGGGACGTTTCTTGTGGATGTGAATAAGCACTAGAAATGACATACAGTACTGTCCTGTGAGTATTGTCAATGGTGGTACATGTCAGGGTGTACATTACTTTTTGGCAATCAAAGAAAATAGTGCTAATTATCTTGCCAACTGACAGAATAACTCTCATCTTTTGTTGCCCTTGGGTGGGAGATGATTTTTATTTTCATACTGTTGGTTTGTTTGCTCTCAGGGTTGAAATGATGTAGCCATATTTCATCACTAGTCACAACTTATTACGGGAAGCTTGGCCATCAGATGTTACAAGTTTTGGTGACTCATCCAAATATGCTTTTGCTCAAGTATCAGAAGCCAAAGAAAGGAACCCATTGAGAACAAAACATTTCATATTCAGATGCTCACACAAAATTGTAGAGTGTATTCTCAGGAAAAATGTTTAACTGTTTTTAAATTCATCAATTTGGCAGTCATCTTGGATTATGACATTCAATGTTAATGTTTTCTTCAGTCAATATTCTGATTAACCTGTCTCTTGAAACATCTGCTTGGAAACTAAATTTCAGTTTTCAGAGAATGACTTGAACTATTGAAATGTTGTGGATCATAAAAGAATAATTTTACTATATTGCTGTTTTAACATTATATAATCTTCTTCAGCTGTTTTTTTTTTGTAAGCTGAAGCAGAATTTCACTGCTGTATTCTGCTCATCCTTACATTTGCTCTGCACCTTGTAGGAGCCAAACAGTCATATTTTGATGCATTTGTCAAAATACTGCACATAAAACTGCCATTTTTTGGACATGCATCCATATTTACAGTGATATAGATTCAGACTTTGTTACTTTTGACAGGAAAATCTTTCTCAATGTGTTTTGATTTGACTTTTGATTCTATACCTCATTCATCAATATTTTACTTTGTTAAAAGTCTTGTGACTGATGTATTCCTACAATGGGTAGATTTGCTGTTTTGAACAGCTGTACATTCAAACCTTGGTTTTCACCATTATTTATTTACCTCTGAAATTGGCACTAAATTGATGTAGTTTAAACAATAAGAATTGTGTGTGCAATAATGAGCAATAAATAATGTGCAATAAACTTTGAAACTTAAAACTTATATGTAAGTTTTAAGTTTCAAAGTTTGTAAGTCATATAATTTGATGATAACAATGTCATTTACAACACAAAATTGTACATTTAATAATTAATAGGCTCAGGCATTTTTTATTCAGTATTTATGGAGACAGTCTATTTGTAAGTGTTCATTGACACTTTATGAGGAAAGCACTAATTATTAAGTTGCTATATTTGACTGTGTTTTATGTTACTGAATTATGTTGTGAATGAAATTAATGTATAGTTGTTGTCCAGCTATACTCTGTAATATAATCAAGAATTTAAAATGTCTTGTTTTCCTAATACTCATAACTTCTACTACTACTAAAGCTCAAAAGTACAGTTTGGTCCTGAAATTGAAAGAAGGTAAACTACCCTGACTTAATATGTAGTACATATTTAGTTTCACATCCAAGAATATTAAATACAGTACAACACAATTTAAATGTTTTGTACCATATTTTTCTTGAGATGATATTTGGCTTCGGAGTCTGTTTTTTGTCATGAATAGAAACTTGCTAGGAATGGTTGATGACTATATTACAGAAGTGATATTTTGGAATTTTATATGTGGATAACAATGTCTGTGCAAACAACATGCATGACATTTGGATACTTCTGACTTTAGATTATTGAACATGATCATCAAGTATGTCCCATCCAAAAAATAAGAAGAAAATGCAAATTCTCATGTAAGGAGTGAATTTGTGAATTTTGTTGGATGGTACCTGTATATTTTGATGTAAATATCAAATGCTTCTCTTATAAAGAAGTCATTCCAAACTGATCACATAAGGGTACTGGAAAAACTAGAAAAATATAAAGCCAACAGAGCAGTGAACTGCATAAATTACAAGGATAACAACACAATATCGTATGTGTGGCAATATGCATATGATAAGGATCCCCAATAATGTTGACATCTTATTCATAGAATTTTAGGCAAAAAAATTAATATGAGGATGATGAGCCTACATATTGGAGAATGACATAAATAGCCAAATATTTGATATTAAATAATTTGAACACTTGAATTAATTGGCAGTTTAAAATTTGAACTCTGGACATTCTAAAGTTAGAACAACATTGAACCTGAAGCATATCTCGATAGAGATTTGAAAACGCTTGTTTTTGCATCTAAATATAGTACCTTACTGGAAATAAAAAAGTTCTGAAAGGGTTGGTTACAAGTTCCAGTATTCATATAGTGTAAATTTAAATATCAAACACAAATAAAATATATATTGTTTCTGTTCAAAATATGCAAATCAGTCTATTGGTAAAAACAGGTGTTTTATTCTGTGCTTTGGTACTTTAAGTATAGATGTGATGGTGACATTCCAAAATACCATGTTTGTGCACTATGTCCCAAAGAAGACATTTAGGTCATGATCAAAAATGGTGAAGCTTTGATAAGTTATAATTCAATCAATCTATTGGAGAAGTTGTTTAATTGTTCAGACTCCACCATTCTGTGATTTCATATCCGTGGACCCAATTCATATCACCAGAACAGAAAGCAGAAAGCCAAACTCAGATTGGTATTGAGTCTTCTTGTGACCACTACTTAGTATTATTGGTTTTGGAGTATTGGTCATATTCAATACTCAGTGAACAGCACCTACATTAGGTTCAAGCCCTGTTGCAGCTACAAGGAGGCTGTCTCTGTGACTACTGTAAGGAGATGGCGCACACATGGCTTTTATGTATGAAGGGCAAACATTTGTGTTTCATTCTCTGCAAGGCTGAGAGCAGTCTATTTATAATGGTTTAAGGAATGTCACTTGGACTATAGAGTATAGACAATTGGAGCAATATCCTGTTCACTAATGAGTCACAATTCACTTTGCAGTCAGATGATTGACAGATTTTTGTGTGAAGAGACTGTTACACAGTATCAACCAATTAATGTCATTTAGTAGCATTTTTTCTGGTGGTGATGTCCTTGTATGGGCTGGGATTTCCTTAAGTGGACATTCTGATCTCTGTTAATGAGCCAAAGATATCAGGACAAAATCATTAATTCATATGTTTAACCTTATGCTACTACAATTGGTTGTGAATCATCGTTGTGCACTCTGCATTAGTGGAAGTGTATTCATTATTGACAAACATTTTTCATTCACAAGAATGACCTGTCATTTTGTTCAGTTTTTTGTTAATTTTGTTCTGAATGTCACATTATATTGATATATTCAAAACTCTTTTTTTTTGTACACTAACAATAGTCAGAATTCTCTTCTATATTACTGTAAAATTTGAATAAATTGCTGCAGTAGTTTCTGATTTGTGCCTGATTTTCACTTTCCTGTTTATTTTTTGAATGGGAGTGTAAATTTGTCAAACACATAAACTTTATCAATCTTTCATAATTACAGCATTTGAAGTTTGTAAAATTGTATATGGAAAATTCCATTAACATACATACTAGTTTGTATGATAAATTGTCTAATTATTTTTGACAACATAATACATTAAAAGCAAAATACACTGTACTATTTATAAGTTATAAAAAAGAAATGTCAAGTTTTAATGCTAATTTTTTTTCTAAAATAGTCTGTTTTTATTAATCTTTTAAAACTATTCTCTATGTGATTAACATATGTAACGAATACAGAACATAACCTGAGTTAGCCAAAATCTGATTGGTTTTATATGTATTTAGTGTGTAATTAACATTACAGTTAAAAAATTTTTTATAATATGAATATGTACTTAATAAAAGGTAATTAAATATTTTTGTAGGTGTTTTTAAAGAGTGCTCCAACTGATTCAACTTTACCAGTCATTGATATGATTAAATCACTTGACAAATATGAGTAAAATAAATATGAAAAATTTCATCAAGATATAAATCTTCTGGTAATTTAAAGGTATATTTCTATTTAAGTCTTATGGAAAGATATTTGAGTGATACACTTGTATAGGAAACTGTTGTACATTATGTGTAATTTTGTTCAGTTCTTCTCTCTTACTAAATAGAAATAAAAAATGGAGCAATCAGTTTAATGTTTTTTATTGAAATATTTTTATTTGTTTGTGTTCTGAATTAGTTTAATTTATTTTTCTTGTAAGAAATACAAAATTTTTTTATGTAATTGGATTAATATGAATTTTATTTTTTCTTTCTCCTTTAACTCTTGTGATAAGATTTCTTATATAAGAAATCTTATCACAAGAGTTTATATTATTTGTTTAAAATTAAATAAATATTTCTAGATTATTATTTGATTTTTTCAGTTTATTACTAATACTGATGTAATGAATGAAAATGATTTTATATTAATACACTCCTGCTTATACTCAGATTCTTTGATATTATACAATCAACACACCTTATTACTGAGAAAGTTCATTTATTCTTCCAAACAAACGTTTTCAACCCACTCTATGGGCCATCTTCAGATTAAAGACATTCAAATCTACAACGCTTTGAACACCAGGTTCAAATTTAAATATAATAAATTAGAACTTATGTAATATATTGAAATTGAATTAAGTAAACCAAATATAACGAAAATATTACAAAAATAGAATAAATAAACTAAAATAAAATAAAATGTAAAAATACAATTATTAAACTTCCAAATAGGATCAACACTTATAGTATCATATTTTATATTAATATTCTATTTTAATATGAACACTTATAGTATCACTTATTTTATATTAATATTCTATTTTAATATAGAATCAATAATATATGATTGATGTGTTAGCTTAGCTGTTGGAGAGTATTTATGCTAAACTTTCATAATTTAGCACAGATTAATATAAGTTAAATAAGTTTACTAAACTTAAGTTTTAAAAGGAATTATTGATATTTGAGGTAGCCAACTAGAATTATGATAATGGTTCATAGCAATCATTACAAGCATTGTTCTACTTATTTACCATTTACAATAAAGGTTCACATTTTATACTCATCACATAAGACAATTCTTAATTTTAAAAAGATATTTTAATTTACATGATGAAGCAATTTATATGTTAATGTGTGGTAATCTTAGCAAAAAGAATCTACCTTTACACCAAATTTCATAATTTAATTAATTAAGCTAAATTAAAACTTATCTAAATGCAGAATTATTTACAGCTAAAATTAAGCTATGTTCAGCTGTTAAAAAGTGGATTTTGATTTATTATATGTTTATTAGGTATATAATTTCTACATCCTCAGTAATTTTTATGCAAGTTTGGTAAGTGAAACAATTTGTATTAACTTGAACAATAATTATTTCATAAGTCTACATTCCAAAAATGAATTTCCAGAATGAGAAATGATTCTTCTATAAAAAATTTAATATTTGATTATAGTAGTTTGTAAAACGAAGATAATAGAATATATTCTCTTCTTATTGAGAAAGTACTACTATATTTTTTTTAATTCTTTATGTGATATTATACTTTAATTTATAATAATACATTAAAATAAAATATTCAGAATAAGAACAATCAATAATTAACTACTTATTGATTGTTCTTATTTGAGTATCTACTGAAGATTATAAAATTTCTGTTTTGTAAAATATTTTAATTTTTTATTTGTTCAATTTTAATTTGTTTATAGATTTAAACAAATAATTTTTATGAATTGTGTAACTATCAAATGTCCAATTAATTAATTTTAATTTAATTTATATGTTATAAATAATTTTATACAAATAAAATAAAGTTGATGGTTTAAACAAAAATTTAAAATAATAACTGTTAATGTTATGTTTTACTCATTTTTAATAATATTAAGAATATTTGATGTTAAATATTTTAAATGATTCTTTTTGCAGTCTATTAATATTTATAGTCAAGGATAATCTTGTGTAATCACTTTTGTAATAAAGAATCTTTATTATGCAAGTAATAAGTAATTTTCAATAAGAAAGGAGAAGGTTATTACTCCTTTATTTTTAATTCTTAGTTTATAAGGACTATAAAGTTCTTTAATAAAACTTTTATGATGTAATGACATATTACTATCAGAAGTACAATGCCTTTTTATAAACTGTAAAAGGTACTTTAGTTTAGAGTTTATAGAAAGGTATTTTATTTGTATTTTCCATTGAATTTAATAATTATTTCTTGTAGTAACATAAGATTTTGTTTTTTGAAGGATTTATATATGGATCATTTTTAAAAAGCTGTATGTGTTAAATCAAGGGTACTCAAGATATAAGTTTCAACCTCTAAAGGGATCACAAAAAGAAATTTCAAAAACAAAAATATAAAAACAGAAAATGCAAACAAGCAATCTTCAGACTAACACACAAAAGACAAAATTAGCTAGTATCAATAAGGGTTTACAGAATACTGCAATAGCTCAAGTTTCTGATTTTGTTCAATGATTAAGACAAATTTTGATTTTAAAAATAAGTTCAAATAAGTAGCCTATTGGTTCATATTCTCAGTTAAATGTGGAAAGTTTTTGTCATAAAATAAAATTTGAACAAAATAATATGTTCTTTTTGATAGAGAAAAATTAATCAGAATGTTAATATTTTAAAATATTTTTGTATAAGAAATACTTCAGCTGTTGAATTAAAAATGAGTATTAATTTTGTAAAATTTTAATATTGTTTTCTAGTAAATCGGATTTTAAATCCATTTTTCGTATGTAAAGGAGACTTTCGATAATTAATCTATGCAAATATTTCTTGTGATATTTATTACAAGAAATAAATTGCATTTTATGGGTTTCGCCCATTAATTCGATGTATTTTAATTATAAACTTGGAATATCATCCCAATATAAAATTTAATTTCTTGGAAAAGAATTTCGGAATGATTTCGTGCGCATATTTGGTCCACCCTCGAATCCGGAACTGAAATTTATCGGATCATTATATTTTTAGTTCGTTACTGTGAAAATTTTACAATAGGATTAGAGTGCAATAAATATAAAGTGTGTATTGTTCACATTCAAAGAAACTCGGGGAATAATTGAAGGAAAGCGTTCCTTTTTTGGAAAAGATTTGTTAGGTGGCTTTTAATGTAACGAGCCGCGAAGGTGCTTCCAAGATTCTCGGATAGATAAAACAGTCGATCGGGGAATCCCCGACACCCAACATTAGGAAGTGATTTCCTTATTAAGTTCGAAATGGTATGTAACATCCTCGGTGGAATTATGTTCCTAGAATTTAATTAACCGTACACGCAGTTAAGGGCAGCAGAAAATAAGCTAGCCTTGTTTCTGATGACGATAATAAATACAGAGACGACGACTATATGTAATGATCCGCTCACTATACGTTTAGGTATTGAGACTAAGCGTAAAATCCTTTGTCCTTTCGGATTTTTCGGACACCTTGGCTTTGACTTAACGAACTTGGAAGTCATTCACCCTTCTGCTTCCAATTAAAATAAGAAATGCCGAAAATTTCAATTTTCTGTTGTAATAATCGGAATTCTCTTTAAATTATAGATAGATACCAATACGAATTAATTATAATTAGTTTGCATTCGTCACTGCCGAATATTGATTTTATACATAAAACTGATCCAATTCGTAATAAAATTAATTAATTTTTGTCTTTTTTTTATACATATATCGTTTAAAATATATTTAATTTGTAGCTTAGGCATCAAAAATTCACTCTGTTCCGTTAGATAGTTGACAGTTTTGCCGAAAGAATAAATTACTAATTACTCGCTTAATCAAATACTGCAATTCCTTTACATTCAAAATATCAATAAAAGAGCATAAGCATTATCATATTAAAAAGTTTAAGACTGTTTATTAATAGGCTTATACTATTGCTGTTAAAGTACAGTAATTCGTTAATTTTTGTTCTGTAATTATTATGTATTTGCCGTTTTAATTTTAATAATAATTTCTATATTATTAAGAAGTACCGATCAGTTTTATATTGGTATTAATACGATAAATTCTGTTTACATTTACGTAATAACAGCATAATAAATCGTGTCTTGATAAATGTTTTTATTTATAGTTATAATTTTCGCAAAATGCTTGCACATTCAATGCTGAAAACTTCATGGATTCGTTAATCAAATAAATATTTGCTTCAGAAGTATCAAAAATAAACCTTTTTAATAAATGCTAAATGAATGTGCTTTCCCAATAACAGAAGGCTGCAGAAACTGCGTGAAAGTATCATAAAATGGAATTTATGCTCCATCGATCGCCAGTCAATGCGTGGTTGCATCGCATTAAGGCTAAACGGCCGCAATAATTTCGTCTATTACTCGCAACGGGTGCCAATATGGGTGAAGGAACGAAGTATGGCGCCTCGATTCTTACAGACGATAACTTATGAAGTCCGGAAGATTCGAATCCTGATTTTATATGGCTGTAGAATGATACCGTACCGCGGTGGTGTCCAAACATCTCGATTGGCGAACCAAATTACCAGAACAAACAGTCATCTGTCAAATATGTTTAAGGGTCAAATTAAAGTATGCCACGAATCGGATTTGGCCCTGGAGCGTACTTTGGGTATCGCTCCAACCGGCCGACGAAAGCAAATTTACTCTGTAAATTTATTTTCATAACTTTGATAAAGATATTAAATATTTTTTCCAATTTTTATTATTTCGCCCTCCGGACAGTAACAGGATAATTTTCCATGCCAATTATGGGTTCAATTAGCTTCACAATGTAAGTAGTCGAAATGATGGAGGAGTGGATCCGACTCAGTTTTTATGATAAGTTCTTGATTCTTTGGATTGATACACGATGATAAAATTAAGAATGTTTGTTTCATACTCTAAATTGCTATCTTTAAGTTTTTTGAATTTTCAGAACCATTTCATAGTCTTTCAGTTTGGAATTTGTTTCATGTAGATAACTAATTGAACCGAGCTTTTGAATGATTTCGTGGAGGAAGAAAACGTAAAACATGACAAAATTTTAATGTGTAAACTATTCTACAATTAAATTTATCAAGAATAAGTATGTGCAGTCCTCAATTAACGTGGTAAGATACGTTCTTTAAAAGTACTGCGTTAAGCGAAAATCTGTAGCGTATTAAGAATATATATAATAATGGGAGATCTTCTCTCTCACTCTTCAGTTGGTTGTGAGTTCGCTCCTAATCAACCCAGTATCTTCCAGGTTTTCTTCACCTGTCTTACTAAGTTGTCACTTAAGTAGGGCTTTCCCATAGAAAGCTAGCCCATGGTAGATCGGCCATGTGCTGCGATGCCCTTTTTTATGAATCCAAATCTCGGTAACAGGCCTATCATCGTGCGAGTGCTGCTAATTGGAAACACTTCAAACGTTCATCTGTGCCATATAAACATATCCACGCATACAGTATTCAATTAAGGTTATAACTGAATGTTTTAAAACACTCGAGATTCAGATGTTTCTCGTATCGAGGTCCTCAACTGTATCAGGGTTTTATTTCCTCCAATATCGTATTTTGAATATCGGGAAAAAAATCCTAAGGTTTTTCTCGAGACTTCACACTTGGAGTTCTTCGAGAATTCATGGTAAAGAAATATGGACGAATCAAAATAAAAGTTGTTTTTAAAGAAGTCATGTAATTTATTACTTTTTTGACTAATGAATCTTATGATCATTACACCTTGCTTTTGCAAAGCCGTTTCATCATGATATTGATCAAGTAAAAATGATTATCACACGACAAATTAATTTTGAAAAATAGATGAAAGGACAATACTTTTTATAGCAAGATTAGAAATATTACAGTTCTAGATAGGATTAGCGTACTCTCAGTCCATTTTTTAAAATATTTACAATGTTATTTTTCTAGTTTGATACATTTTAATATGCTTCGGTTGTTATCAAGGGGACTTTGCGAGTCCGTTCAGTTTCCCCCTCCCCATTTCTGTATATTCCGAATAAATTAAAGCGGATATTATGGTAAAGAAACCATTTATTCGAAATTCAATTCCTTTATTAATTAGTTTTCTGTTCTCGCATTATTTAAACAAAATAGCAGATGAATACAATATTATATTAAAAATTAAATTCATTTAAATCGATGGAGTTCTTCGTTTTTGCGGAATTTATTGATATGTTATGTTAATGTAAAGTTAGCATAAATAAACTTGGATGTCGTACTTAATTTCCTAATTTAGGAAGTTAATCATGTCAGTATCGGTATTCTTGACTCAGCATTTAGGTTATTGACAAGTGTAAAACTTTTAAAGAAATTGATGTATATCTTGTACATAAAGATCCTGTATGTTTCATTATCTAAAAACAGTCGTTTACGATGGATTTTAAAGCCGTTGTCCAAAAAGTGATGAGAATTATCGAAAATGAAAGTGTCAAAGTATGGAACTGATCCAATTCCAGGTTTTCTGTTAATCTTGTTTTAGCTGGTTTTTACGTGATTTATTTTTGGAAGAAACGAAGGAATATTTAAATTTTAAAAGGTTTTACAGCAAATCCAAACGTAGAAATACACTAACTCGGGCTCATAATCTTCTTCACGTATCGACGACCTCTTTAAGAAATTTTTTTTTCCTATCGATTATTTTTAATGCATTTATTTTTATATTTGTAAAATTTTGAAAATGACGATATAAATATTTTCAAGAATTTTTAAATGATTATAATTACTAAATTAAACAAGTATTAAAATATTATATATGCATATGTAATATGTATTTTAATTTGCTCATTGGTCCCTAGCGACTCCCGTGAGGATTTTGTATGGAAAAATAGCCTTCATTCAGTTAAGATTTTTCTTCATTTTCTTCAATAGAGTTGTATTTTTGAGATAAAAGCAGTGGTGAGATTCTGCTAAAAATAGCAATAAAGTTTATCATATTACAATACTCGCCAGGCGTTATAACAAAAAATTAACAAACCGACATTACAAACTATCTTAAATGCAAAATCATTAATACTAACAATTACTGACGTAATAACTTATTTTAAAAAAAAATGGCGGATTCATCCTGCTCAATAGTATTCAGAAACATTTCGCCATTCATTGTTTCTCATTTATTGATGGATAGATACATAAAAACGTAAAATGATTTTATTTAAACTTCAATAATAAAAGAAATATTCAAATTATAGTTTTATTTATTATTCGTATTTCCATTCATAATTTCCATTGCTGTATTTTGGCATAGATTTTTGACAAGTAACGATCGTAGAGATCAATTTATATAGACAGTTTTACGTCGCTTCGCACTCATCGCTGAAAGTTGCTTTTGGTAGCGATTGGACAAATTAATTAAATCGCTGACTGTGCAAAACTGTCTTTAGACACGTTAAGAACACGCATGAAACTCCATTGAGAGGCGCAAACCTGAAGCTACTATAATATTCGGTAGTAGCCTATTAGTATTATATAGTATTCGTTTTTGCTGCCCCGTTTATAAGTCAGATAGTTCTTTTGATAAGTGAACGAAAATATTACGATTTAAATAATTTTCTTCTTCATATTTTTAATAAAAGCGCCATTTCTCTGATTTATTTAACTTTAAGCTGAAACTTCGATTAAAAATAAATAAAATAAAATAAAATAAAACCATAACTATGGATAAAGACAGAAACGATTTAGCATTTTTTTTAAAGTTACATTTCTTTATTTTAACGTACAATTCAAATACGATTTACGTAAATATTTTTGTATTCCAGAAACTTTCACGATAAATAAAAGTAATCTGGAACGTTACGCGTTACGCGCGTGTTTCACCAATTACGAAATCCGTTTCTTTTTTTTAAACCAAAGTTTACGCGAAGGCGGGAATTGAAGGAATGCGAAATAAACGGGAATCGATAATAAATTATTGGGAGGACGATGGCGTCCGAACATTGCGTCGTTATAGAAATAGGGCGAGGTTTTGTGGCGCCCACTTTATATAAATATTCTCGCGGACTATTAACGAAAATCTTTGGTCTGTTATAATATCGGAAAAGAAGGATCTTCCAACTCGGAGTCGGAATTGAACTGTTTGGTCGGGCGCCCAGTCGATAATCGGGATTTAAATGCGGTGGGGACGACGGTCGGACGGTCAGGTCGAAGAACCTAATTAGAAGGGAAGAAAGACGAAAGGAAATCGCCGATTCTTAAATCGACTCGATCCGTCCACGATGTAAGAATCGGGCGAAGTTAATTTCGTGTTTCCGACGTCGTCTCGCTTAAAGACCAAAACCATTTCCCTCAGTTAATAATTGTGGAAGACGGCGACCGCCGCTCCCTTTTTAAGCGTTGACGCTAATTATCTGATTGATCCATCCGACGAAAGCGGAAACCTTGACGTAAACTCCGGGAACGTCTTCCCGTCCGCATCCGAAACCCCAAGAAACCAGTCCGGTCAACTGGTAGTAGTCGTCCGTCCGGCACACCAGAGGTCCTCCTCCGTCTCCCTGAAGTAACGAAAAGGTCGGATTAACGTTGCGCCATTTTGTTCAGGTTCGGGCGCCGTGGAACATACCTGACAGGCGTCGTTTCCTCGCTCTCCCCCCGCGCAGAAGCTACCCGCTGGCAAGATGAAGAGTTTCTCCGTTACCGCGTTGATCTTGACGGAACATTCTTGGTCGTCGACGATGGGAAGTTCGGTTTGACGAATTTTTAACGAAATCGGTCCGTCTGAAATAACAAAAGAATAAAATAAAATAAATAGAAATTGTTTCTTTCGTCGTCCTTCATCTGATTTCTTTGTCTTACAAGCTTCGCCCGAGCTCTTGATAAAGTTCGGCGGATATTTTTTATCACAAATAACTGGCCAATCGCCTTTGTCACGGAAGAAAATCGTTTGAAAGCCAAGAATACTTTATTGTTACTTACGGTCTTCACTTCTCGCTGAGTACTTTTACGAGACGTCGAAACTTTGACGTTTTGGATTTTACTGAAATTTTAATAGGTTTTAGTAAACCTTTCCGCTAACGCACGGTAACGTAACTCGTGCCAATGAGCAGCAGTTTACGAAAAATCATTGTTTAAACTCTTCCCTTATACACAGAGTTCTATAAACGAATCGTAACGTGCAGGCGTAACTACGAGTGAGTAAGGCTCGGGTTGAAAAGCTCGACTGGCAGGTTCGTCCTTTTTTTTTTCATAATTTTTTCTGAAGTGTGCTATCCAGAGAATTATTATAAAGTATATTCGGCCCAAAAATACTATTTTGTAATTATTAATATCCTTCGCATGTTTTTAAACCAACAACTGTATGAAAAGTATTGATTTGCTACTCACGGTTGTTGGTTTTAAAATATGCGAAGGATATTAACAATTACAAAATAGTATTTTTGGGCCGAGTATATTTTATAATAATTCGCTGGATAGCACACTTCAGAAAAAATTGTGAAAAAAAAAGGACGAATCAGCTAGTCGAGTCGAACTTTTCAATCCGAGCCTTACTTCACTCGTTACGCCTGCTCGTTACGATTCGTTTATAGAATTCTGTGTATAAGGGCAAGGTTTAAACAATGATTTTTTTTTCTTGTAAACTACTGCTCAAAGGCACGAGTTGTGTTACCGCGCATTAGTGGAAGGGGTTTAATAAACCTATTAAATTTTCAGCAAAATCTAAGATGTCAAAGCTTGGTTAGATACCTTTGTTAGATAGGCCCCGCCGTTTTTCCTCTTTGTTTCCTCTCGTTATGAGTCGAAGTGTTGTTAGAAAAGTCGGTCAGTTTAGAAATGATTCTGTTTTGGCCGGTCAATTACATATAGGTGGACGGTAAAATAAAAGGACGGGCGTGACTGTCGACACTCTCATCCTCCTCCGCCTTCCCGGAGAATAATTGACTTTTATCGTGCCAGACGAATTACTTACAAAAATACTTTGTAACGTCGATTAGGACGGGTGAGCCCATTCCGTTAAAGCATCGACCAATAACAATTAACCATCAAATTTTTTTCTTCTCGTCTTCCGCCTCTGGCATTATTTCTCAGGAGGATCCGAGTCTTTTGTATTCGTTATTGCTGATTATAACGGACTATTTACCGTCGCTGTAATTTTACTTAATTAATTCCGATTTTTGTTTCCGTTTGTTCAATGGAAGGAGAATTTAATTCAACGAGGTTATTTCGTTTATTAGTGGTTGAATGAGGTGGAATTCTTTTCGAATACGGAGATTTAAAAAGTCCTTCTGATAAACGAATAATCGAGCCCCGGTAGTTTTTTATGAATATTATGTAATAGAATGCCTTCCAATCCTATATTATAGATGCAGAAAACCTACAGGTGTTAAGACTATCAAACAGTAAATCCAAGTTTGTCTTATAATCAAGTCTGTTTTAATCGTCAGACAAACTCGGGTTTGCTGTTTGATAGCCTTGATTGGAACACCTGTAAGATTATGCATGTATATGATATAAAATTCTGCTATAAGTTTCTAAATCAATGTATACCTTCTTCTAGTCCATTTAATTTCGATTTCATTTAATTCCCACTCAAAAATCTCAGGAAACTTTTCACTGTTAACAAATGCAAATTTTTGATCGAGATGAGCTTCGTCTGTCTCGAAATCAGTTTCGTATTGTACCCTTCGTGTAGTTATTAACCCAAGATAATCGTGTTCATTGTATTCATTTACAGAGCTACTAAAATAAGGCCTGATAGATTAGTATTGATGACTCACACTTTCCTTTGTTATTAAGGAATGAATTTATGAAAAAAGGAAGAAAAGATAAATTCGAGTCTTACTTTCGCCTTGATATCCGTAGCCGGTAACAATGCATCTTTTTCCAGCCTGTCGATTGGCTCCTCTAGCTGGTAAACATACTAGACAGGCGCTGGTGTCGAGGTCGACGGATGTCTGCAGCTTGAGTAAAGCGATGTCGTTGTCCAGTGTCTGGCTGTTGTGGCTGTGGTGGACGTAAGTGGTGGCTACTCGATGCGTTCGAGCTCCTCGACTTCCGTATTGACTTGTAAGATCGTGGTCTCCGATCCTGACGTATATGACGTCCCCATTTCTGACTAAACTGTGGAGAGAAATTAGGACGTTATTCGAGAAGTATTAAAAATGAATTTACCACTATTTCGAACGGAATATTGTCTAACGAATTTACTTGGTGACGCAATGGGCGGCAGTTAAAACCCATTGGATTCCGATGAGCGCACCTCCGCACAGGTATTGATTCTGAGCGTTAATTAGAGCTACCTGTAACGAAACGAATACATTTTATAAAGAGAACGTGTGTTAAATTATTTTAAAATAATATATAGAAAAAATATGACTTAATGACTTGACTTCTGTTAAGTTTCACTTAATAACTGTTGGATTCTCGCTTTTAAAACAGACATTTTGGTTGGAAAAAGAGGATTAAAATAGAAAAGGATAACCCATAAAAATCCACCCTAAATAAAGGAATATTTAGGGTGGATTTTTGTGTATATTCGTTATGTAAATAAACTTTATTGCCTTTAAAATGTTTCGATTTACTAATGTTAATTGTAGGATCTCGGAAATTTAAAATCGACTTGGAATAAAAACAGAATACGAATATATTTTCTGTTTCGTGTTTTTTAAAAAAAAACTCAAATCCTCTTTTCTTAGAAGTTTTGTATTCTCTTTCTCTACTCGTATATTATTGTTCTTTCATTCCGACCAGTTTTTAAAGACACTTAAGGGTATTTATAGGATCCTTGGAATTTTCTCTCGAACATTATCTATAGGCTTCGATAGTCGGCATTCGAAAGTTATCGACCTTTTATATATATTTGAAAGTACCGAATAATTCAAATACGAATTAATTTTTTTTAAAGAAAGGTGTTGTTTTTTTTTATTTAAAAACGTCAGTCTTTCTTCGAAAGAAAAAAGAACTTTACTTCGGGACTTAAGATATAGGACATTGTTTCGTTCTACTTACTTGTATTGCGTTTGGGTGTGGGGAGAATCCGCCCGTACGAATGGTATTATTTATTCATTTACGCTCGATGTAATATTTACCGACCGTTTTTTCTGACCTGGATGTTTGTAGACGTCAATTTTGAGTCTATATTTTTTCCCCTTCTTAATATTGATTGTGATGATTGTTAATTAGAAAACTGAATTGTTTTTCTTTGGAAGAGATTGAAAAACAAATGAAGTTACTTTATATACGGTATAACTAAGGCTAGGACGTGTAGATACGTATGATTTTTATGTAATTTATATTTTAGTGTAGATACCGTCGACAATTTTTAATTTTAATCAATAATTATTAGTGTTTAGATGTCCCGGGCTTAGTTATCTAGACAGTAAATTTCATGTAAAAGTTATAACTTAAATGATTTTTAGATATGCTTATAACAATTTTATGTAAAATTTAGTTTCCGAATACTTGGAGATTCAAATTTTTGTAAATGATTTACTAATAATCGTGTTCCTTCCTATTTGTTTACTTTAATTTGCTTTTGTATCAATTAAGGTGCTTTAGAAGTTTGTTATGCAGTATTACGTTTCCTACGTTTGAAATTCCTTTTATAAAAAGTGGTTCTAAAAGATTTCTATCATTATAAAGGTAAAATTATTCTCGTTACCCGTTACTTTGTATATACTTCGTTGCAAATTGTTACATACAGATTACTATTAAAAAGATTAAAAGTTTCCATACAAATTCAAAAAAATTAATTCCTTGAGTTATGGGATTTCGAAAATAAAGAAGGGCACGAGTTATCGTAGTTTTTAAGGACGGAAAAATCCTCTTTTCATTTGTTTACAGATATAATTGTTAGCTTTGTATTTATGCTTATACCTGCCAGCACCATTCTCCGGGAATAGAATCGGTTCCACCAATAACCCTGGGGGTTTCTCTTCTTTCAGTTCCTTTTAATCCACATACGTAGGGAGATGGTCGCAAGTCGACGAGAGCTATAATAATAATAATAATCGCATTAAAAAGAACTGATGAATATTAATGACCATTTTTCGCGACATTCTACCGTGTTATGGTTTTTTTCAATTCAATAATCAATTTCCCGGTCGATACTTACGATTCGAAGTCTCGGAAGGATTCGACTCTTTTTGCAAATTGGTGGCGTGAGCGAGATGTTCATACTTTTGTATTTCGGACAGGGGTGCGCAGCATACGGATCCGACCTTCGCGCAGAAAAAACCGACGTGGACGACGTTAGCACCGAAACACGTGAATTTTAAAAACGACGCTATACAGGGTCCGGGACAGAATGGTTGTTCTAGAGGTCTGGAAGTTGCCGGATTTTCTTCGAATTCCGCGTTGCCTTGCGGGTTTTTAGTGCTGAGATGAGGAATCGAATGATGTGGAGACGGGACGTGGTTAACCGGGCGTCTGTGAGGCGGGAAAGGTTTCTGTCGAACCGGAGGAGGAGGGGGAAGAGGAGGTCTTTGTCCGTTTGCAGGCGAATCTTTGACATCGGAAGTAAAGCAGCAGATGGTTCCGGCATTACAGTCGGACGTTTGTAAAATTAATTTCGAAGGTTTATTACAGACTCCGCTGAGAAAAGTAGGGATGCAGGATCCGGGACACTGTCTAAAAGGCGGTTGTTCCGTAGTTTCGGGTTTGTTTAAGCAGCATCTGCCCTCGTTCGGACAGTGGAAATTTTCCATTACTTCGTCGCATAAAAGACTAAAAATCGGCGAAACGCAGCTACCCGGACACGTAGGTCCGGAAGTCGAAGATACGGACGTTTGTTTGGACGGAAACGACTGAGTAGCCGTTGTTTTCGTTGAAGGCGTGGATGTAGTCGGACTCACCGAACAACACACGCCACTTTCGCAAATAGAGTCTCGTAGCAAATTACTACAAAATCTGGCGTATTGTTTTTCTATGCAGTGTCCCGGACACGGTTCTCGTTGATTGTTTAGAGGACTGTCCGAAAGAAATTCCGATGTGACGTTAGTCTGTCTTAACGGTGGAGGATCTGTTACATTCGTTTCTTTCAAAATAGCTTCCGATACGGAAGTCGTTAGATCTACATTCATTTCTTCCGGATCTCTCGTGGGTTCCATATAATCTTCGGGCAGAGGTGGAGACGTCTCGACGGGTGTTCCAAGTTTTAAATCCTTAGAAACGCAACATTTTAGAAAAACTTCGTTGCAAGGCAGTTCTTCTATAATATGATCGCATAAAATGGCAGCCAAGCTGTGAACACATTCTCCCGGACAGATGGTTACATTACCTATAAATATTAAAAAAAATCAATTAACGTAGTATATTCCTCGATAATTCATTGTTAAGTTTACCCAATTTTTCTTTGTATGTAAATTGATATTTTAAAAAGGTAGGATGGCGTTTTACTGTATTTTACTGTGAAGGAGCTTGCTTAAATATTAATTAATAAACATTTATTTATTTCGTAAAATTTGTCGAAACTCTCTTTTGCCAGTTTATTAATGTCTTAACCTAACACGTGTATTTCTGATGACTGAATCGTGGTTTGATTCGTAATTACTTAATTGTGAGAAAGCTAGCTTCGGGCACGATGTGGTCATGAAAGAGGCGTATCCGGTCTTGCAACCTCCTCAACCTCATTTTCCCAGGACTGATAGAGTACATGTGAGAAGCATGGTATATATCCCAATGATTCATCGATCGCGTAAGTGAACTCGAGAATGAAATTTCAAATATCTAAAACACACAAATAATTTAAAGAAAGGTTTACTAGTGGTTTCCCCTGTTAAGACACTCTAACGTTAAAACGCGACGAACGAGTATTATTTCGAGACTTAACATTACTTTGTGTTCATTCATATTTTCTTTCTTACTCGAGGAAGATGGTCACGCGTAATGCTCCTCGACGTTTAATCGAATATTTCCGAATTAATATTACTGTCCCGGCGCTGAAATTATTTAAGAAAGGTATAAAGAAATGGTCGTTATCGGTCACGTGGGTAGATCTATAGAAAGTGGGCGCAGGCGAAGGTGGCAGGTGGGTTCCGTCGATCAGAATCCAGATGGATCCGGATGATATATGAGATTCAGCCGCGGGACCAATTTCCGGAATATTAAAATATACTTTTTTTCTCAAATGTGGCGAAGAAAGAGCGAAGTAATTGTAAAAGACGACAAACGGTCGACGGAGTGAAAAAGGCAAGTATGGGTTAATCCAATTTCCCTATGGGACATCCAATTCGATCAGTTATGTCGGATTTCTCACTGCTTAAGGTGTTTTTCGGTTTAGAACGTGTAATGGATTGTGTAAAAATCTTAGTTCTTACTCCAAGATTAAAGAATTCATAATTGGTAGAAGAAAGTAGCGGAGGACGGGTTTTAGGCTTTAGAAACGCAAGGGGGGAATATGTTGGATTTACTTGGAATTTTTTAAAATTCGGTCACACGCTAATTTGCTGGAAATTTTCTCCCGAAACGTTCGTTACGGTTGTACGTCGACGAACGATAAAATAGGTTTAAAAGAGACCATTTCAAATAATGGCAAGGTCGATGGCGAGGCTAAAATCCGGCGAAGAAAAGCAACGGAGCGGAACCGAAAAAATGGGAGAATTAGACCTTGACATCGTTTGTCGGTTCTTACGCGATACCGAAGATGCCTCTTTGTTATAACACCTAAATTCCCGGAATTACCGGATTAACGCGCCAATCGCACGCAAGACCAAACCGGGGTCGAATGGAACAGTCGATTAACATGGACGGCAATAATTTTCGATGGACAAATAAAACTTGCTAGAATTTAATTTTAGAAAAGGACGATGGACGAAACGAATTTGGTAAGAGATCTCCGTATCACAAGTTTTCATTTTACTACTCGAGTAAAATACACTAATTAAATAACCGGTCTTCGGGGTTAACTTTAGTCTTTAAAGGCCGAATTAGTGAAGTTATGGATAGGTGGAAGAAAGAGAGAGAGACCAAAGAAGGCATCCCCGTCCTATAAGGGGACACTTTCGGAAGTGGAACGATACCGATCATCCCTCGAAAACTCCATCACTTCGGGTTGGCAGCGGCGCTTCCCTAAACTATGATCCCTGGATGAGATTTTTTTTAGGGAAATTCAACGCGACCGGGGCATCGGTGGCCACTAAAGATAGAAGAGACGAAAGACACTCACCCGGCGGAAGCTGCGGACCTCGAAGGCCGTACCCGGCCGGTAGGGACGAGCCGATACCCAACAGGAGCAGTGGCAAGATCATGGCATCGACGAAGAACGCAAGTCGCCAACCGAGACCGAGTCGGAAGACGCGCCACCCCGAGCCTAACACGTGATTTAACGGATCATCTATATATACGGAGTTGTGTCGACATCACGTGCTTAGCATCGGTGGGTCGAAAGCGGTAACCAGCCGGGTCGATGACTCGTCGGGTGCCACCGTCGATGACTTGAGTAGAGATTCGGCCGACCGCGTCCCATTAGGAAGTCGGAAATGGGTCTCCGGCGGGAAATTGGAATATTCTGTCAGTTCTACGCCCGCCCCCTCCTTGGATGCTCCGGTCTGATGTGGCCCGTGGTACCACGTACTACGGGAATTCTTACCCCGGGGAAACGGCCGGCCGGAAAATAATATTTTCCTCCACTTTCTTTCATTTTGTTCAGACGGGTAGAGACCGGCGCGGTTTGTAATATTTAAATTTGGGATAAAAGTCGGAAGCGGCGTCTTCTATTTAAATATTCTTTAAATCGAATTGCATGACGCGTCCACATAATTTAGAGAAGTTTTTAGGCCGAGCGATGTTTCCAACGGTGGAACATCTGGACTCTTCTCACGGGAAATGGACGCCATTTGCCCATTCTACCAAGCACGCGCAAAAAAGTAGAAGGAAATTTACATACGGAAGTATCCGTATTTTCGCAACGGGACCGGATTATTTCTGATTGTGAAATTGCCACAGCCCGATGCTAAGTGGCGGAGACGTAAAACGAGAGGAGGATAAACTGCATGGAAAATTGGGGGGCAAGCGTAGAAACGGAACGTCGAAAAACTAAGGAGAAGATAAGAACGTAAATAGGACTGGAGCGACGTCCCGGACCACGGTTTAAAATCGGACCCGTAAAGCCATCCGCGTCAACATTTAGGGTCCGAGAAGTCGACATGCTCACCCGCCCGTCGACCAATGGGAAGTTTCGTTACTCTCTATCTTTTTCGCCATTCTCGGCCGTCTCTGCGCGACCCGTAAAGTCTTTTTTCGCGGAGATTTAATGAATAAAACGGAACGAAGAAGAAGAATTTATGTTCACACGCAACGAACAACTCTGTTAAGATTAGTCGAATTATCCCGACATACAGTAAAGGCTTATCCTGAACCGTATCTAATCATTTCTTCTGAACAAAACGGTCTTGATTTTGCCTTGTTGCTAGAGACTTTGCATCGAACTATTTTGTAAAAGTAATTGTCGAAGATCGTAAAAGAATAAAAACACCGGAAATGCAATATTTGCATTTTTTTTAACTATTGATGACGAAAGAAATGTATTTACTTTCTAATTTTCAGGGAACTGCTAACTATTGTATGAAGATTTTTTTCAAATTATAAGGCGAGATATTTAGTACTAATAAAAGGGAATGTTAATTAATACGTTAGTGATTGTTTGTCAAATATTAAAAGCAAAAATCGTATTTTTATCTGGCGAATTTGGTTACCTGGAAACGTGAACGTCACGTCACGTAATGCATGTAAATTAACAGGAAGAGGTAGAAACGAAATACGAATCGAACGGTACTCTGATACTGTTACGTGAGTGACTGCTTACCTGCGTAGTGCGCTTACTATAGAAATTGATTTTACACGCACATTTATTAATTAAATTATAAATATTTTTGGAGTAAGCGGCCGGGGAAACTATTAGTGTTGAAAACAGACGTCTTATCTGTGTAGATCCCAGTTATATTTTTTTAATTGACCACTTCGGAGTAAAATGGATTGAAAGTCGTCATTGATGACGATGGGGGAATAGAAAGAGAATCGCCAGTAACCGTTGAATGCGCTACGATTTTCATTGACGTCCGGTCGAATGTAGAACAAGAAACAAAAAGAAGAGGATCATCACCAAGCCGTCTACTTCGGCTAACCTAACCTGTTAGCTATTGGGTCATTGCCTCTGCCGTCTGGCAAACGGAGTAACTCTCATTCAAAAGACTTTTCTTCTTCGCCGCGATTCTCCGTCCTACACCTCTTTCTATACGACTACTTCTTCTACCTCTAATTATAGAGCCGAGTAAAGAATAGACAATCGTTTTGAATTCCCTACCATGTCTTAGCTCCGCTATTATTGACGGTTATTCGCTATACGCGGGTTGTGACCTCCGGCTCCGAAGTAACGTCTGCCAACCGGGCGAATGTCTGTCTAATTTGTCCGATTAAATAATTACGCAAGTAGAAACGATTCGTTTTTGACGTCATTGCATTTGCCCATCGGAAACGTTGATAAAACTGCCAAGATTCTCTGTCGTTCCTTACTTATTTAAAAATATACAATTGTTTTAAGGTATTTCACCATTTCCTTAGATTGCTGAATAAACCTCTAGTATTTTAGTTTAAACTGTTAGTTTTCGCGATATCCCGGTCTTATTATTTCGGACATTTTGTACCGGTAACCCGATCCAACTCGGTGTATTTCCTTGATGGAAGAAGTGAGAATTTATATCCTTTCTCTATCCAAACGCTTGGTTAATGTAAGGATCTTACTTTGATAATATATTAATAAGCTATTAGTATGACATATTATTGAATCTTTTTATTAAGATTGCAAGATATTTATTGCAATAAACTATTAAGATTGATGATATAATTATTAATTTTCGTCATCGATCAAACGAATCGAATCTTTTCGTTCCGCTTCTTTAATTTATTTTTTCTAGTATTTCGCCGAAATCCATGCACAACATTAAGAAGCGTTTCTGAATTAATTAGCAGAGACGATTTACCAACTGTTTACGAGTTAAATTTAATAATTTCGGCGTTTACCGTCACGATTAAAATCCCTTCGATAGGAAAATCGAGTGGAAATTACGTAACGCACTTCGACCAGCTTGGAAATAATATGGCTGCGGCGGGTTAAGCAAAAGTTGTAAATCTATCAAGATGTACTGTACGTGAGCGTAAACTAGAACCAGACGAAGGCAACTAACTCGGTTCTAAACCAGACACTCCAGATTAGGTTTATTACAGAGTAACCTTTGTGGTCTTTGGTTTCTCGATGTACGGACGGCATCTGGAAATTAAAGACCACGCTATTGTTATACGATGTTGGGGAAAGAATGATTACTTCGCTGATAAGGGATCATTGAAAATGATGGATATCGGTGGCAAGCGGTATTCTTTGACGTATTCTATCGTGGGTTATCGGTCCTTATAATTATCAGCGCACGGAGTACTACGTGTGTAATATTTTCGACCGTTCGGATAGTGGCGCTTCGTTTCTGAAAATGTAATGGGAACTATTGGAATTAATTGTTACTTTATATTAATATTTGTTACCATATTTTCTAATCTATTTAATTTCATTCTCATTTGTAAACGTCGCAATTTTTTGTTACGGGAAAAATAATTTTCCTGTTAATCGAATACGTGTTATCCCGATATAGATCGTTTTATAAATAATAATTTACAATTAGAAAATTCTTTAAATCAGTGATGAATTTTATCGCACGGGATGCGAGAATATTCCCTAGGCGCTTTTTCCCCATTGTCTAAAGAGAAAGTATTAGCCATTGTTTCAAGATAAGTAAGTAAAAGAAGATAAAATTTCAATAAGTCGAGCGAAGTTGAGTAGTCGCATAAAAATTTCCTTAAAATTAAACCTTGCCTTTACTTTATACATAAGTTAATTGATATCTGATTCTCGCATTCTAAGGCTAAATTTTATTCTGTTTTTAAAAATAATTAAAACTAGACGATTAAAACGTGTTTAATTTTATATGTGGTGTCAGCAGTTTTGTTAAGTTTTAAAAAGAACTAATTCGAGTAACGTCGACGATTGAAGCACTTTCTTATTTAGTTTATAATGAAAAAGTATTCCCGTTTACAGTATTTCGCCTTTTATCCTTCTGTGGAATATTAAAAATGTCTGCATTTCGGTGTAATGCAGTTAAGAAAAAAAGAGTTCATTTATATATATATTAATTCTATTCTGTAATTTGTTAATTTACTATTCTACGGAGAGATTAATAAAGAACAGCTTTCTAGAATAATAGATTTTAATACGAATTTTAAAAAAGGGTGGAATTTGTGTTTCATTCATATAATACAAATTCTGCACTAAATGAAAGATGCACATTATATATGTAAATAATTATTATAAAGAACAAAAGGGTTTTACTTAAAATCTGNTAAATATTATGCTTTTTCAGCTGTTCAAATAATTATATTTTTATAATAAATACACTTATGCATTAACAGGCGGCATTAGTCAAATCGAAAATCATTCGGATCCCCTTTACAATTAGGAGTTCTATGCAAACATCTTTTTCTCCTACTGTATAATGTGCCACTACGTAAAATTAGAATTGCCATAAGGATTTTACTGCAGCAAACGTGCAAGTTTCTTCGAAGACTTGATATTCACTTTATATTGCTTATTGTTATCGAAATAAGATCACACTTGTAATCTTTCGAAACTAAAATTCTCTTTTCTTGGAATCAATCGTTCCATCATTTCAACAACCTTCTCTGAAATTTAAAAAAAAATATGCCGTTTTGCGATTTTCTGCCGAGTTTTATTACGTTTGTAGTATCCACTTTTGCATCCTGGGACAATGCATAAAAGCCTCGATTCAATTTTATGAAACTAAATAATATTTACATATAAATTTTTAAATAAATAGAAGCGAAAATTACGGATCGCGAATATGAAAAATATATATATTAACAACTAAAATTGAATAGAAAATTTTAAAAAATACGATTAAATCTTCAATTCTTGATTCATTGTATAGCCATTTAATGGAAGATATGACTGCAGCGNTAATACGAATTTTAAAAAAGGGTGGAATTTGTGTTTCATTCATATAATACAAATTCTGCACTAAATAAAAGATGCACATTATATATGTAAATAATTATTATAAAGAACAAAAGGGTTTTACTTAAAATCTGTTAATTAATTGAAGAAGTATAAGAAAGTGTTTTAAATATTTAGGCTTATACTTATAACTAAAGCATTGTTTAATTGTAAGGCAGCTTTCGCAGTATCAGTAAATATTTTTCGGTGTTATTTATATGGTAAATCTGTTAATATGCAGAGTTTTTCTTCCTGCTTCATTTTATTCGCGAAATTTGCAGCTTCACGAAGTTCTTATTTATCACTCTAGTAGACTGCCGACTGTTAGTGATAGGAAATTCCAAGCTGCTAAGTTTTCTTCTTTAAAATTGAAAACTGCTTACAATGTCAATGACTGATTATATACGCTGTGTAAAGAACTGTACAGTACATATTCTCTATCGTTTTCTAAATATCTGATTGTTTAGGTATGATATTTTGTTTCTGTTAGTCGAATTTATTTCTTACATTTTTTTTTCTTTTAGCTTCGAGAGAAAAGAAGAAAAATTTGAAAGATAAACGTAACGTGCTTTGTAATTTTTTAAATGTCTGGAAAACTTTTGCTTGGGTGTATTTTTTGTAAGCCGCGTCTTAGCGTGGGAATAGACTTTAGTAGAAAAACTGGCTCCGAACCCTCTTTGTTCAACTTTTAATACTTTTTGAAAGATAAATTATATTCTTTTCTTTGTTCGAAATAATCTAGGACGAGAGGGAAATCCGCCTGCTTCATTATAATCTTCGTGTCTTCTCGTCTAAATGTACCGAAATATTAATAAAATGAACAGATGTTTCGACTTCCTTAAAGTTAGAAATTTGACGTTCTTTGTAATCGCTGATACGGTTATTAAATGACATGTTAATGTAATAAAAATTAGTTGACGACAATCGAATAGGTTCAATATTATTACTATTCGTTACTCGTTACTTTTGTAAATTAAGATACTCGTTTGACACTTTCCTCTGTTCACAT